GCTCAAGTGATTCTCTTGCCTCAGCCTCCCAAGTAGCTGGGACTATAGATACCCACCACAATGCCTGGCTATTTTTAGAGACAGGGGCTCGCTCTAACTCAGGCTGGTCTCAAAACTCCTAAGCTCAAACAATCCACCTGCCTCAGCCTCCCAGAGTGCTAGGATTACAGGCGTGAGCCACTGTGCCTGGCTCTATTCAATTCTTAAGAAAGGGTCAGGCACTCATGCCTATAATCCTAGCACTTGGGAGACCGATGTGGGTAGATTACCTGAGTTCCTAAGTTCAAGACCAGCCTGAGCTAGAGCGAGACCTTGTCTCAGAGCCCAAGGGTCTGAGGTTGCTGTGAGCTATGAATGCAACAACACTCTACCAAGGGTGACAAAGTAAAACTTTGTCTCAAAAAAAAATCTTAAGAAAGGAGTTTAGTGAGATGAAATAGACAGTATACCCAGTTCTGCAGGAAATGAATTTGTTAAGCCACCAATACATAGAAATGTGTCTACAAGAACAATTTGAAAGTCCCTAAAATCTTAATTCAAACAGTTGCATAAGTAAAGCTTAGATGCTGTGGGTGACTACCTTTATGGGCATGCACTCTCTGGACCCAAGAGAGAGGGCAGGTCTTCATGACAGAGTAGGGTACGCTAATTGTGTGCATCTTATTCATTACATTCTGAAAAGCAAAGAAAAAAGAAAAGTAATCAATACTAAACACATGCCATTTTAAAACCAGGCTGACACCTTGTTAACAATTTTAACTACACAAATAATACTCAAATACATGCTCCTTGAAAAAAATCTGGAATGTTAACTGTAAGGCTCAAGTTCCTTTGATACCTACCCTCAAACTTGATTCCTTCCTTTTCTCCCCAGAAATAATCACAGTTATGAATTTGATACATATCCTTTCAGTCCCTTTTCTTTTCTTTCTTTCTTTTTTTTTTTTTTTTGAGACAGAGCCTCAAGCTGTCCCCCTGGGTAGAGTGCTGTGGCATCACAGCTCACAGCAACCTCTAACTCCTGGGCTCAAGCGAGTCTCCTGTCTCTGCCTCCCAAGTAGCTGGGACCACAGGTGCCCGCCACAATGCCCGGCTATTTTTTGGTTGCAGCTGTTGTTGTTTTAGCGGGCCCAGGCTGGATTCAAACCCGCCACCTTAGGTGTATGTGGCTGGCGCCTTAGCCACTTGAGCCACAGGCACCGAGCCTCAGTCCCTTTTCAAATATTTGCATTTATATATTTGTCCTCATAAAAGTATGAAGTATTTTTAACATAAAGGCATCATGTCATATATATATATAAAAATATATATATATATACACACACACACACACACTATTTGGCTTTCATTTAAGTTGTTTTAGAGCTAAATCTATATACATCAGTACAAGAGATCTACATAATTCTTTTCGAACTGCTCCACAGTATTCCCTGGTATGGCTATATCACAATTATTTCAGCATCTCCCTATCAATAACAATTTTTTGCTATTACAAGCAACATTTCAAGGAACATACTTGTACTTGCTTCCCTGGGCTCAGGGCAAGTGTTTCTCTAGGTAGATACAGAAAAGTAGTACTGCTGGGTCATGGGGTATATACATATACAGATATCTATATCTATATCTATTTTTAAGAGCTGGGGTCTTGTTATGTTTCCCAAATCAAGCATACCCAGGATGCCCCAAAGAGATGCAGCCTGGCAGAGTAACCCAGCCCTTGGTGTTTAGACTGGCCATTTGGTTCACCACCTAACCTGCCCAGAGAAACCAAGATACCATTTCCTCCTCACACCCCCTAGTTTCTAGCTCTGGTGACAAACTTTGGGTTACAAGAAAAGGCTGGTGTTTATAACTAACTCTTCACACAGGCTCCTATCTTAACACTTTGTATCACAGGGAGGAGAGTTCTCTTAATTCCTCACAAGCGTTTTTAACTTCGGATAAAACAAAAAATGACAAAGGTTTCAGAGAAAAATTGGAAAAAGGTACGCTCAAGGAATAAAGCTCTTACTAATTTAGGGGTTCCTGGGTGAAGAGGGATTCTCTTCCTCTTCCCTCAGCTTCATTTCCTCCTGCCTCCCAGCTCCTGCAGTATCTAAGGAAGTGAGACTAGATATTCCCTCAGGTCTTTTTCTTTTCTTTTTTTCTTTTTTTTGTAGAGGCATAGTCTTACTTTATCATCCTTGGCAGAGTGCCATGGCGTCACAGCTCACAGCAACCTTTAACTGCCGGGCTTAGGCGATTATCTGACCTCAGCCTCCCAAATAGCTGGGACTACAGGTGCCTGCCACAATGCCTGGCTATCTTTTTGTTACAGTTTTGGCTGTGGCTGGGTTTGAACCCACCACCCTCAGTATATGGGGCCAGCACCCTACTCACTGAGCCACAGGCGCCACCCTACTCTCAGTCTTTTTCTTTCCCCCTCCTTTTTTTGAGACAGAGTCTCACTCTTTCGCCCTGGGTAGAGTGCTATGGCATCAGCTCACAGCAACCTCAAACTCAGGCAATGCTCATGCCTTAGCTTCCTGAGTAGCTGGGACTATGGGCGTTGAGGTCTTTTTCAACTTAGAAATCTGATATTTCTTCTCTTTCTCTTCTCCTATATGGCATGTTACAAATGATAACTTTCCCACTTTTTTGTGCCTTCTTTTTATCTTCCCTCCCCCCAAATGATAAAGCTAACCTACTTTTCTTTCCTTTTCCTTTCCTTTCTTTCTTTCTTGAGACAGAGTCTCACTATGTCATCCTCAGTAGAGTACCATGGCATCACAGATCACAGCAGCCTCCAAATCTCAGGCCTAAGCGATTCTCCTGCCTTAGCCTCCCTAGTAGCTCGGACTACAGATGCCTGCCAAAATACCCAGCTATTTTTTGGTTGTAGTTGTCGTTATTGTTTGGCAGGCCTGGGCTGGATTCAAACCCTCCAGCTCTGGTGCTTGTGGCTGGCGCCCTAGCTGCTGAGCTACAGGCTCCACGCCAAAGTTAACCTACTTTTCAAAGTGCAGCTTAGCTGTCACCTCTTCCATAAAAATAGCCTTGAAGCCCAGATCCAGAAGGAAGCCACCTTTCTGTAACACCCATGGCGTGTTACCTGTTCCTTGATGGAAAGTGTCCCCCCATCTACCTTGTCACTGCATTCCTTCTTTGCAGCATGCAGTTTATTCAGGGAAATCATTCAATACATTTTGTCAAAACCAAAGGCTACCATTTGTTTTCTGGGAAATATTACCAATCTTCTGGGGGCAAACATTGAGAGATGCTCTTATTATATAATGTGCTAGCCTTAATCGTAAGTATAATTTATATGCAAGACCTTAAATCCAAGTAGCTTACCGCAAACATGCCGTGCCACAGCCCAGCATCCTTCTTAAAGTCTAAAACATTGACTACTGTTTCCCCTAAAATAGAAAAAATAGAGAAAAACACAAGGAAATCATCTTTAGTGTTAAGCGGCAAAATCCTGTCACGTGACTTCACTGACTAACTGAGGTGGTGCTCATAGAGAAATGACTGAAGCCTCCCTGGGGCTTCTAACTGCTCAAGGGTCCCCCTAGAGAACTGAGCACAGACAGCGTGATGTGTGAACAACACAGTGAGTCAAAAAATTCTTACGACCTGGGCATTTCTTCCAAAAAATAATACTTTCCCCGAATTATGTAAGGAACACATGTTTATTTTAGAAATTCTGGAAATTTCACCAATATGGGTAAAAAATTACACTTCCTAATAAAAATGTGGCTATGTGTATATATTTACCTATGTATCGCAACATATACTTAAAGGCATATATAGGTAGCTAACATAGCACAGTTGGCATACAGGGTTCTGTTCTGCATTTCACTTTTTCCACTTAGTGATATACTGAAAAAAACTGCCCATATCTTTAATATTTAAGAAAATGAGTTTTAACATCTCAAGGAATAACCCACTGCATAAACACATTATAATTTAATCAACCTCTTTTTGGGGCATTTTGATTACTCTCGTTATACATATATATTTTTACCAGACAACAATGTTGCTCTATAATGAACATATGTTAACACTAAAAAAAAGTCAATATTGCAAAGAATATTCTAAGGCAAAAAGCCACTATGCAACACATATTAACACATCTAAAGTTCAAAAACCACAGAACACTTTCTTGTGTTTTAATTTGTGCTTTTTGACTCCTAACGTATAGCCGTTACCTCTCTGTACACAGGAAGATGGAGATACCTGACATTCTACTACTAATAAACACCTGGTTTGAATTGGGGTTTTCTTTTTCTGTGCCCTATCCATGAAATCATGGTTTACATATTTGGTTTGCTCAGAATTTTATTTATTTATTTATTTTCTGCAGTTTTTGGCTGGGGCCGGGTTTGAACCTGCCACCTCTGGTATATGGGGCCGGCACCCCATTCCTTGAGCCACAGGCGTCTCCCTGCTCAGAATTTTAGTTCCTTTGAATTACAGAACATTTGTGAAAAAGAAGAATAAACAAAAGCAAGCCAAGAGTATGTCTCAGAACATTTCCCTCTAAATTTGGTCAGTAAATGGATTCCAATCACCAAGCACTGTGCTCAGTCTCACATGTCTGAGTCTGACAATGAGGGCAGTCATGGGTGAGGTCTGACCTTCGGAATAATTGCAGGCCTGCGACAGAGCTTGGCAGTGAGACAGCATTGCCAGCCGGGACACCGTAACTCCCATTACACTCCCTTCTTTGCTTGTTTTATACTAGGAAAAACAACACAAACGAAAATGTGAGAAATACAATAAAATGGGCCATTTCAAATGACAAAACTAGAATCCAAACCAAAATGCATCATAATGGGCTGAATTTGACATGTTTCACATGAGTACTTAAGGCTATGGACTTGGGTCCCAAACTCTTGATTACACAAAGATAGGTTTGGAGGATGACAAAGTTCAACCAAAGTATAGGCAGTCCCTGAGTTACAAACAACTCTCACTTACGAACAGGTAGTAGGTGAATGCACTTGCTACTATTTGTGTACAAATTCAACTTGGGAACAAACATAGAATAACTCATTTGAAACTGGGGACTGCCTCGATGTGTGTAAAAGACTCCAATTTAGTTATCAGTGTGAAGTGGCTGCTGAAAAAGCTGCAACAACAAGTGACTTGAGCTGTATTAACAGAAGCATTAACACCAAACAAACTCATGTCGAGCACAGCACTGCAGAGTTAAAGGAGTATTACACATGGTCCCTGTGTATCAGAAGCTCCCAGTCTCAAAGGGGGAGACCAGGAATGAACGGCTTCTTCACTTCTACAAATCATTGAATTACAATTTTGCTTTTACCCCCAATGCTCCCTTTAAGTTGTCTTTTTACCAGGATCATTAACTTTTTTCCTTTTTTTGGTAAGGGACAGGATCTTGCTATGTTGCCCATGTTAAAGTGCAGTGACTATTCAAGGCCTGAAAATGGCACCCTATAGCCTTGAACTCCTGGGCTCACAAGGCGCTCCTGCCTCAGCCTCCGCAGTACCTGGTACTACAGGTATGTATCACCTTGCCTGGTTCAAATTTTTTTTAGGACTAGTTAAATGCAGTAGTGGGGGGCAGGGAATAGAATAAGGAGATTGATCTATAACAGACTGTGAACAATGAATTGAGCTAACTCACTGCCTTCAGATAAGCCTCAACTTTTTGATTGTTAAATCAAAAGGACATTGTGCATATCTTATCTCATCAGAATTTTCTGCAACATTTATCTACGCTTTCTTGACACTTTCTCCTTCCTTAACTTTGGTGATAACTCCTTTCCCATAGCCTCTCTGTTTTCTCTCCCAATGCTCCTCCACCTCCTCTGCCCATCCCTTCAATGTTGGTAACTCCCTACAAGTTCTGCTCTCCTTCCTATTCTCACTTCACCTTATTCCATTAGGCATCACATTCCCAATGGCTTCCAGTTCTTGATCTCTAACCCAGGCCTCTCCTCCAGGGAGATCTTAGAGTCAAGTGTTTCCCTGGAATGTCTTGTAATCCCGTAAAACCTAAAGTACTAACAGTGTATTCTTTACCACCCTCCTCACTAGCCATGAAAACTCCTTTTGCTGTATTTTCTATCTTAGTGAATTATGCTGCCATTGACCCAGTCGCCCAAGTCAGAAACCTGAGTGTTTCTTGCCTCCTCCCTCTGCAGGAGCAGTCAGTAAACCCTGCAAGGTCTGCTTCCTACTATTTCTCCTCCACCCATCTCTCTCTGCTCCTATCTCCGTGTGCTTGGGCTCACCTGGGTAACTATAAAAGGTGATCTTTTTACTGCTTTTCTTTTCTTTTCTTTTCTTTTTTTTTTTTTTGAGACAGAGCCTCAAGCTATCCCCCTGGGTAGAGTGCCGTGGCATCACAGCTCATAGCAACCTCCAACTCCTGGGCTCAAGAGAGTTTCCTGCCTTAGCCTCCCAAGTAGCTGGGACCACAGGCACCCGCCACAATGCCTGGCTATTTTTTTGGTTGCAGCCGTCATTGTTGTTTGGAGGGCCCAGGCTGGATTCGAATCCGCCACCTTAGGTGTATGTGGCTGGTACCTTAGCCACTTGAGTCATAGGTACCGAGTCCTTACTGCTTTTCTTAACCCCACCAATCCCAATAAATCTTTTTGTAACAAATTCATTCTTGTCACTCTCCTGCTAACCTGTTAACAGTTCCTGCTTACCGACAAATACTTTACTTTCAACTCACTAGTCGAGTGCTGTTGGTAATGGTGGGATCCTAAGTGAGAACTGCAAGTTACTTCTGAATAGTAGGAGCCTAGATACACAGAAGGCAGTAGTTTTCATGAGGCCAAGAAGCTGAGTAAGAACCACTTAATGAAGGGCCGTCCACCTTTTATGATGAAGAAGACTGGGAAGGAAGGTAATGAGGTGGAAGGACTGAGAGAGAGTCCAGGAAGCCAGTGAGTTTCAAGGCAATGAAGTGACGAAACATGTCACCACTGAGACATGACATGGATTGAGAGTTGATCACTAAGTTTTGTTATTTTAAATGCTTATTTGTCCTTTAAATATACTTGGATCTCTTCCACCTTCAAAAATCATCATCCTTGTATCCATCATCGCCTCATCACCTCTCAGAGCTACTACTGACTCTCTTTCTATTTATGGTCAAAGTTATTGAAGTTATCTATACTTGTCAGCAAAGTGTTCAAGGTTCGGTGATATTTTCCCCATCTTTTCAAAAATTTATTAATGTGTGGGGTCGGGTGTGGTGGCTCATGTCTGTAATCCTAGCACTCTGGGAGGCCAAGGCAGGTGGATTGCTGGATCTCATAGGTTCAAGACCAGCCTGAGAAAAATTAAGACCTCGTCTCTACTAAAAATAGAAAAACTGAGGCAAGAGGATCTCTCGAGCTTGAGTTGGAGGTTGTTGTGAACTATGATGCCATAGCATTATACCCAGTGCAACAAAGTGAAGACACTGCCTCCAAATATATATATATATGTATATTTGAGATTTATATATTATACATATATAATCTGTGATTTTTTTTTTTTTTGAGATAGGGTCTTGCTTTGCAGCCCAGGGTAGCATCCAGTGGCATCATCATAGTTCACTACAATGTCAAATTCCTGGGCTCAAGTGATCTTCCTGCCTCAGTCTCCCAAGTAGCTGGGACTATAGGTGCATGTCACCATGCCTGGCTTATTTTCCTATTTTTTGTAGAGACAAGGTCTGGCTATATTGCCCAGGCTGGTCATGAACTCCTGGCCTCAAGGGATCCTCCCACCTTGGACTCTCGAAGTGCTAGGATTACATGTGTGAACCAATGTGCTGAGCCAATTCGGCTATTCATTAATTTAGGGAATAGTTGATGAACATATGTCCCAAGCAGGATGCAGAGTGGTGATCAGTATAGCTGTTAGAGTCAGCCAGAGTTTCACTTCTGCCATTTTTGAGTAATGTGACCTTTTATCAGTTTCTCAAGTTCTTTTAAGTCTCAGTCTCCTCATCTATAAAAATAGTCTACCATAATAACCTGAACCACACAGTATGTTTAGGACTAAATGAGAAAATGCATTTAAAGCACTTAGCCTTGTACCTGTTATGCAGTAGTACTTAATCCCTCAACAGGATCCTGTTGCCTGTCAATCACATTCCTATACAAACCTTCAATTCCAAACCTGCTAGCCACTATTCCTTCTTACTCTTTCATCTGTTGAATGTGTTCCTTTCAAACACAGCTATCTTCTCTTCTTATTTCTCCATTCTCTTGCTTCCAACCTCCCTTGTACTTCTCTGAAAATTTTTTTTTTTTTTTTGAGAGTCTCAAGCTGTCAACCTGGGTAGAGGGCCATGGTGTCATAGCTCATAGCAACCTACAACTCAGGCTCAGGCGATCCTCTTGCCTCAGTTTTTCTATTTTTAGTAGAGATGGGGTCTTGCTTTTGCTTAGGCTGGTCTTGAACTCATGAGCTCAAGCAATTTACCCTCCTAGCCTCCCAAGAGTGTTAGGATTATAGGTGTTGAGCCACCGCGCCCAAACTTCTCTGAAATCTTTTGTTACTTTCTTAGATGAAGGATCAACTTCTTGGCTGTCTTTCTTTTGAATGCATATTTACACTCAAAATAATTAGAATAGAAGGTTTGTGAACTTCCAGCCTGAGCAAGAGCGAGACCCCATCTCTAAAAATAGCTGGGCATTGTGGTGGGCGCCTATATAGTCCCAGCTACGCAGGAGGCTGAGGCAAGAGAATCGCTTGAGCCCAAGAGTTTGAAGTTGCCATGAGCTATGATGCTATGGCACTCTACCAAGGGCAACAAACTGAGAAAAAAAGAAAAAAAGAAAGAAAAAAAAAGGTTAGTGAACTTGAATCCTTGTACCCAAGGATTCAAGGCATTTTACAAGCCAAAAGATAGAAACTTCCCAAAGCAGGAGAATCTAACATTAAAACTGCAAAAAGTTACCTTTATATTTTTATATTTTTCAAAGAAGGCAACTGAAGCCAAAGAAAAAGCCAGAAAGTACATTTTACAGTGTTAGGACTTACCTCAATGTATGCTGGTTCTGTACCAGCAGGTGAGATGTGTGGCTGCCAGTCTTTAGGTGGCTTTGACAGGTACTTGGAATCTGTTACAACCCATTTGAGCCGGGGCCAACCTAAATCAAACCCAAAGTAAAAATTGAATTGCCTAAGGCATCAGGGAAGAATTTCACACTGAGTTGGTCATTGCAAATATCAAAAGACCTGCACAGCTAAGGAAACAACACCAAAGCAAATAGATAGCCTTCAGAATGGGAAAAGATATTTGCATATTATGAATTGGACAGATTGATAACTAGGATCTACAAAGAACTGAAATTAATTTAAAAAAGGAAAAAAAAAACCCCAACAATCCCATATATCACCAGGCAAAAGACAAGAATAGAACCTTCTCTAAAGAAGACACATGAATGGCTAACAAACATATGAAAAAATGTTCATCATCCCTAATCATTTGAAAAATGTAAATCAAAACCACCCTAAGTCTCAAAGCTGCAGATGCTGGCATGGATGTGGAGAGAAGGGAACATTTTTATACTGCTGGTAGGACTGCAAACTAATACAACCTTTTTGGAAGGAAATAGGGAGCATCCTCAAAGAACTCAAATTAGACCTCCCATTTGAGCCTGCAATCCCATTATTAGGCATCTACTCAGAAGAAAAAAAATCCTTTTGGCTTGGCACCTGTAGGTCAGCGGTTAGGGTGCCAGCCACATACACTGGAGCTGGCATGTTCCAACCCAGTCCGGGGCCTGCCAAACAACAACAACTACAACAAAAAAAATAGCTGGGTGTTGTGGTGGGAGCCTGTAGCCCCAGCAACTTGGGAGGCTGAGGCAAGAGAATCGCTTAAGGCCAAGAGTTTGAGGTTGTTGAGCTGTGATGCCATGGTGTTCTACCTAGGGCAATGTAGTGAGACTCTCTCTCTCTCTTTTTTTTTTTTTTTTT